AAGAAGAAGAAGAAGAAAAAAAAAAGCAAACTCAGCCTCAGCTGGGCATGATGGGATGGTACATGCCTGAAGTCCTAGCTACTTGGGAGGCTGAGATGGGAGGACTGCTTGAGCCCAGGAGTTGAAGGTTGCAGTCAGCCATGATTGTACCACTGTACTCCAGCCTGGTCAACAAAGCAAGAGACCCTGTCTCAAAATTTAAAAAGATCTAAACTTAAAGTATTATCTTTCAGAATTTCTCCCAATTCATGTATTCATCTATTCAGTAAATACATATTAGCACCACTAAATGCCGGACACTGTTCTCGGCTCTTGGGAAATGTTAGTGAACAAGTTAGATGAAGGATCCTGCCCTTGAGAGCTGACAGTCTAGCAGAAGAAAGCAGGCAGGCGCTGACCAACAAATACACTAAGTAAATGAGCAATACTGTGAGTTATAGAAAGGTGGAACTGTAAGACTTGGAAGTAATGGCAGAGGAGGGGCAAGGGTGGGCATGTTTTCAGGCAAGGTGGGCAGGGGCTGGCCTCGCTAATAAGGTGGTTTCCTAGCAAAGATTTGAGGGAGATGAGGGAGGGGGTCTTGTGGTGTCTCAGGGAAGGGTCTTCTAGGCAAAGGAACAGTCAGTGCAGAGGCCCTGGGCCAGCAAACGTGCCTGCCACAAGCAGGGGCCAGCACGGGTGCCTCGAGGCCAGAACACAGCAGGCAGGGAGTGGAGCAGGTGTGGGAGATGATGTCAGAGGCAGGCAGGGCGGGTGCTGGGGCAGAGCCTGTGGGCCTGGCAGACCCTGTGTGGACTGGCCTTCTCCCGAGTGGGCGCTCCAAATGCACAGCTGAACAGGGCTCTGCTCTCAGCTCTCTCGGGGCACAAAGGCCTCTCTAAATCAGTCCCTCCTGTTCCCTTTCCAGTTTGTAAGCTGCTAGAAGGTGATTCCTGGGTTCTGGGGATATGAGAGAAGAAAGGCTGAAATTTCTGTTGGGCTCTGTAGGGCAGAGGACCCTAGGGTGGCGACATTCCTGCCCTGCTCCAGAGAGCAATGAAGACTCCCAGTTCGGGACAGGAGACCACCAGCCTCTGCCGTTTGCTTGTGGAAGGGACTTTTCCATCCCTGGGCCCAGGGTTTCAAGAGGAGCACGAAGTGACTGTCTTAGGCTCTCACTGCCCTCATGTCTCAGAAGAGGCTGCTTTGGGCTGAAGCTCAGAAGGGCAGTGAGGGCCGGCTTTCTGTCCTCTAAGGAAGCTGTTAGTTCCATTGAGGAGCGGCTGGCTCTGTGCCACCCGGAGGTAGACATGGGGGTGTGGCGCATACAGCTTCTTGGTAGAAAGATAATGAACAGAGCAGTCACCACACAGAGCACCCACCTTAGCGCTGGAGGAGGGAGGTGACAGATGCCACCTGAGCCTGGGTGAGGAGGAGGAGTGGACAGCAGCTGGGAGAGGCACCCATCCTGAGGCAGCAGAGGGAACAACATCTGGAAGGGCATGTGCGGAGGCTTTGTGCAGAGCAGGAGGCAGGTGAGCGGCTGAGGTGAGGAGTGGCAGGCGCGGGGGGCACAGCTGCAGGGTTCGGCGCAGCTGCAAAGGCAGGGGCTGAGGAGGGAGCTCTCCTAGCTCAGAGGAGCTGAACAGGTGAGAGGTCGGGACAGGATGCCCAGGCAGAGGTTGTTTCCATGTTACTGACAGCTCAGGGTGATGGGGCCCCCTGCATGTCCCAGGCGATGATGACACTGGGGTAGCAATGGAGATAGCGACAGCAGGGACCCGGAGTCAGGCAGACCCCGGTCACATCCTAGCTCCTCTGGCGATTAGTATGTGCAGTGCACAGTCACTGAAGTTTTCTGAGCTACAGTTACTTCATCAGTAAAATGGAAACTATTTTACTATTAACAGCACCATCTTGGTCCACGAGCAAGAGGGCTGCCTAGGCTGGATTTTAGAGAGCCCTGTCCTGTGCTTTCTCCAGGCAAAAATGGCTGGGGGCCAGGGTGTGCCCACTCAGAGTCCACTCCCTCCCTTCCACCCAGGACCCTGAGGACCCAGCACCCAGGGATCTCCTGCCCAGATGTGCCACGTTCAAGCTTGTGTGGCCTCTTCCTGGTCTACGAGGTTTGGATGAAGCCTGGGTCTCAGGCTGGGCTGTTCCCCTGCCCAAGCACTAGGTGGGAAAAGTAAGAAGGAGCCACAGGTGGGGGCTGAGACTTCACTCCCACTTCCCTTCTATGTTCAAGGGTCCAAGGAAGCAAATCAGAGCCCTGCCTTTGAAGTTGTTGTTAAGGTATATTGGTCAAGGCGGGAGGAAAGAATGAAACCTATTTTCCAGTTGATTAATTGATTTATAACTTTCAAATATTTAGAGACCCGGCATGTGGACCTCCCGTTGTACATTCGCTTTGGGCCTCTCAGATGGGACTGATTTGGGCCTTTCTTGCTGGTTTATTTAAGGAGCAAATGACGC